GGGAAAGATGATTGTGTTTAACCCCTGTTGATTTATGCCCTTACTCCTACAGTTGTGCCTTATTTATTTAGTGTGTGTGTGCCCCATAATTGTGTAAATAGTTAAATTCTTTACTTTGGGCTAATAATCTGTGTTGTCTTCTGACAACATAGTCTTCCCTGCCCTGCACAATACCAAAAGGTAGCCCAGGGAAGCAAGAAAAGGCCAGATGCTTGGGTTGCCAACTTTCCAGGGATCCCAAAAAAACTGGGGATTCCATCTCCAAATACGGAGATTTGGCCAGAGGGGTCTCACCATCCCTCTAAAAAGACAGTGCCAATTCGGTGAGTCGTGTCAGCGAATTTAAGGAGTGAGATACGCGCATGGGATGAGGGTGGGAGGCAAACAGTTGAGTGGTGAACTGGAGCCCGTTTCGCCACGGTAGGCAACCAAGCTTGGTTCAGACAATGGAAGGAAACCCTTTGCAGGCCTTTGTGAGGAACTCATTGGGGCCAGTCCTGAGTCTAGGGTTGCCCGCCCCAGGTAGGGAGATTCCTGGAGATTTTCCGGAAGAGTCTATGGAAGCCAGGGTTTGGGGAGGGGAGAGGCCTCAGCTGAACAGAATGCCATACAGCCCACCTTCCAAAGCAGTTATTTTCTCCGGGGGGGTGGGATCTGTTGTCTGGAGTTCAGTTGTGATACCTTGTGATCTTCAGGGTCCACCTGGAGGTTGGCTGCCCAACCTTAACAGTCAGTGCTTTAGAGCAGGGTCTGCTAGATCCAGGTTCTTGCTGTATTTTTTTTTAAATTTATTTATATTTAAATTTATACCCCGCCCTACCCCGAAGGCTCAGGGCGGCTCGAAGGCTCAGGGCGGCTGTAGAAGCTGAGTGGGTGATTTTGGACCAGTCACAGACTTTCAGCTTAACCTACCTCACAGGGTTGTTGTGCAAGTCAAAAGGGGGCGAGGAAACTGATGTAAGCTGCTTTGGTTCCCATTGCAGAGAGAGACTACTTTTCCTCCTGGGAAACCATTGTTGCCAATCTCCAGGTGAGGGCTGGAGATAACTCAGAATAACAACTTCTCTCCAGGTGGCAGAGATCAGTTCCCCTGGAGAAAATGGTGGATTCTGTGGCAGTCAGGGCTTCAGAGCACAGAAAATGGTGGACTCTGGCAGTCAGGGCTTCAGAGCACGGGAGAGGCTGCAGGTGTGTGTGTGCGGGGGAAATGGAAAGTTGGAAATAAAGGTCGGTTGATGATGGGCTGGGAAGGCGATAGGGTTGCCAACTCCAGGTGGGAAATTCCTCGAGATTTGAGGGATGGAACCTGGAGAGGGTGAGGTTTGAGGAGGGGTGGGACCTCAGACTGGTACAATGTCATAGACTCCATCCTCCCAACCAGCCATTCCCTTCTGGGGAACCACTGTTCCCAATCTCAGGAGAGTGGTGGAAATCACTCAGAATTACAACTGATCTCCAGGAGGGAAGGCGGAGGCGATGTAAGGCTGAAATCAGAGGGGCAGAAATGGCAGGTTGATGCTTGGCTGGGAAGGAGATAGAGTTGCCAACTCCAGGTTGGGAGATTCATGAAGACTTGAGAGGTGGAGCCTGGAGAGGGCGAGGTTTGAGGAGGGGTGGGGCCTCAGACAAGTACAATGCCATAGACTCCACCCTCCAGACCAGCCATTTCCTCCTGGGTAACAATTGTTGCCAATCTCCAGGTGAGGGCTGGAGATAACTCAAAATTACAACTGCTCTTCAGGTAGCAGAGATCAGTTCCTCTGGAGAAAATGGTGGACTCTGTGTCATTATACCCTGCTGAGGTCGCCACAGCACATTGACGCTGAGTGCCCAAGGCCTTGGCACTCTCTCAAAGCCTCTTTCTGGAGCTCGTTGTATTTATTTCCACAACGGGCCTTATTCCTAGTATGTGTATATGTATGTATGTGTGTGTGTATATAAAAATATAGGAGCAGGAAAGGAGGGAGAAGAAATAGTAAAAAAGGAAGGAACGGGGGGGGGGGAGAGAAAGGCAGAGCACTTTTAAACTTAATCCATACTTAGTCAATATATAGCCAATCAGTCTCTTCATTTAGTGCCAATGGCAATGAGGTCCCCAAAATATATATCCAAAAAGTCTTGTTTCTCCTTAGTTACTTAAGGAGCTGGTGTGGGGGAGCCAAAACTTGTTCAGCCACCCAGAATCAAAGCTCCTTATCAGTGTGAGTGAAGGTCAGAAATGTTGTACTAGTGGAGCTGAAATTTTTTCTACCCTGATACAGCTATGATGCTCACAAATGCATGTCTTGACAGGTCTTGTTGAGAAACCTACATATAGGAGGTTGCATGGCCATTGTACAATATATATAATACCTTTAGAATTACGATTAACAAAAGAATTAATATTGACGGTCTTATAATTTTACAAATTCTTTAATGTATGTCTTTTGACTGAAAAACACATGCTGCACAATGCTAAAAGGGAAATTGACTTAAGGGATACCTCTACCATCCATTGTGGTGTTATCTGTTTTAGGCTCATCAATTTTACTTGTTACCAGCATATCCTGTAAATTTTTGGATCATCTGTAGGCAAAGGGGGGGATCTACATCTGGGTATATCTGATTAGAGAAGCCAGCGCTTCTGGATGATGTCACTTAATTGAGTGTAAGTTCTATTACATGTGAAGGTTATTACTAGGGATGTGCATGAACTGAGAAACGAACCACGGTTTGAGCATGAACCAGGCCAGTTTATGGTTCGTTTTGAACCAGTTCATTTGGTTGCATCTTTCCTGAATCAGAAAAGAAACCGCCTTTTTTCCATGGAGGTTCATTAGAGCACTTCGTTCTCCAGACAGCTTGGTGGCAATTCAATCAATTCCTAGGCAACGCTGGGGGTGGATTTGTGGAGAGCCCTAGAAACACCCATAGCAGTTGTCCATAACTTGGATGGCAGCTGTGGGAGCCAACCATGGAGCTTTCATTCTGCTCTATGGGAGCAGATTGTGTGTGTGTGTGTACACCCACACACACTGACTCAGCTGCTTTCCCTTTGCAGCAGGAAGAGAGAGGAGTTATTTGTTGTGTGAGAGTGAGTTAGGAAGAATTGCTTGGTGCGTGGCTGATTTAAGGGGAGACTAGAGCTAAGCTTTCCTGCTTTGGGAGACTGTAACTCAGACATCCTAAATCCAATCTTCACCAAACTTGGAGGGTGGGTGGAGGAGAGCCTGCTGAAGACTCCCTTTAAGTTTGGCATTTCTAACTCGTGAGAAGCTGTTCTGTCACCTCCTGAACTCACAAACTGAACGAACCACAAAACCGGTTTGGGAAACAGGAAAAGTTCGTGAAAGTTCATGGTTTGTGGTTCGTCAGTTCATGCGGATCCCTAGTTATTACCATTCTATCTGTGTTTTGTTTCTTTACCCTGGGAGTTAGAAGGGATGCCCTAGTAGTGTTTTTCGCTCTGAAAAAAGCCTGTTTAAGAATGTTGGCTGAATAACCCCTGTCAGACATTTGCTTCAACAGTATTTGAGCCTGTTTATTAAAGTCTGATTTGAGGCTACAATTTCTTTTGCATCTAAGAAGTTGGGAATATAGTAAATTCTTTTTCAGATGGTAAGGATGAAAACTGCCCCCAGCCAAGAAGGAGTTAACATCTGTGGGCTTTCTATACATACCAGTATGTATGGTATTGCCCTGTTTTCCAACTACAATATCTAGAAAATTGAGGGTACTTTTATCAAATTTCAAATGGGATAGTTTCATGTATTGATGCATTGGCCAAACTGAGCTAGTAGTTCTTTGGAACCTGTCCAGATGAAGATATCATCAAAAAATCTCTTTATATAGAGAAGTATAGTTCCTATTTATGTTATCGTTCTGCAGGCTAAACTCATATTCTAGTTTATCCATAAATAGGTTCGCCAGTTCAGGGGCAAAATTGCAGCCCATAGCTGTGACAAAAACTTGCCAAAAGAAGGATTGCAGAATTGAAAAAAAGATTTTTTAAGGCACAGTTTTGCAATACTGCACAAGAATGATGTGGATGGGTTCAAGTTATCTCTCCTTTCCCAACACCTCAGATAGTACTTGGAGGGCCTCATCCTGTGGAATGTTGGTATACATTGAAGCCATGTGCATTGTCACAAACAATATAGCCTCAGAAACTAAAGGTTTAAGAAAAAGGTCCAAATATATAGCAAGGATCCACATCCCACAAAATGAATCCACATTCCAAGACTGTTGGTCTACCTTGAACTGGGAGAATATCTTTGTGAATCTTCAGTAGCAAATAGAATTGAGGCACTCACTTTTCAGATTGCAGGAGGAAATCATATGTGTGTTTATATAGTTTTCGAGCAACACCCCCCGTAGCAATTCTTCTATCTATTTCTTGCCTTAGTAGGATTTTCTGAGCTCGTGATATAATGTGTCATTGTTTAATTGTCTGTGTGCCTCTTTGATGTAATTATCATGATACCACACAACTACGATACCACCCAACTGCCGGCTTAAAAATAACATCTGTATGCTGGCAGAGTTGTTTGAGAGTGTTTTTCTCCAAATTACTTAGATTATGCCAGGCTGGGAACTCAACCTGTTCCAGTCTATTTATTTCTTCCAGGACAAGCTCTTGAAAAACTAGGACTCTAGGGGTATTAGTAGGACAGTTAAATGTAGAGTTAGGTTGTAAAATACCATTACCAGTAGATAAGTTTAAAGTTTCCTTATCCCCCTTAAAATAGGTTTCACATGGGATCTAATACAAGCAGGGGACCTGCAAGGACCTGCCAGGGGCATCTTATTTTTCCCTCCCCCACTATTTCCTCTTTACTTTCTCTGAAAGCCCCCATAGCCTCTCGTTTTCCTGCTTCCTTCTTTCCTTCCCACCCACTAACGAACCAGCCAAAAGACTTGTATGAAGAGCTGAAAATACTTGATTTCTGAATCCCTAAATTAGAGGGGCCGAATTCTGCTGTTAGGGCCCTTTTTAGATTTTAATTAATTCTGATGCAGACATGTCATTCTCTTCTGAATGGCCAGGTAACAACTATGCTCATAAAGGGTTCAAGGTTTTTTGCTCAGCTGAACTAATTTTGCTTTTTTCTTAGGAAAGGTAGACTTTGCCACTTCTGCACTTTGCCACTTAGGAAAGGTAGACTTTGCCTTAATCACATCCATGTTATATTACTGTAATACGGTGAACTGGTTAAGCCTCAATTCTGCCTAAACTTGTAGCTTTTATTCTTTCATTTTAAATATATGTTAATGTTTTAAGTCCTTTTAAAAAAACAGGTAAGACTAAATAAAAATAAGCAGAATACAGAATCTAATCTGGTGATGGCTTTAGTCCTTCAGCAAATCTCAGTGTGTAAAGGCAGGTGATTACAGTGAAATGGTCCCTAATATAGAGTCTAATTCAAAGTGACCAAGAGTATACCTTTATGTTACTGTGCTAGCTTCCCTTTTCTTTCTTTCTTACTGCAGTGCTTTTTTGTCCTTCATTTAGGCTTAATTTTCTTCAAATGTGTTGTTACAGTTTAATAGATTCCATAGAGAGTGAACACTGGTCCTAAAAACAATGTAACTGTGAGCTGATTCATCCATGCCCTATGTTGCACAATAAACTGCTTAATATGCAGTAGCGTAAGGTCAGCTTCACAGGTCAAGCAATTTCCCATATGAATGGGGCAATTTCAAGCACATAAATGCAAATGGCAATATGTGTTAGTTACATTTTATCCTTTCCACCCCACACCTTCCTCCAAGAAGCTGAAGTCAGTGTGGTTCAGAAATGCAAGTCCTTGGTTGCTGCTGTTCCATCGTCTAAAAAACACATTTATCCCTCTTCCCCTTATTAGGATGTTCTGAAGTTCGAAAGAAATGTTGTGTTCTTTACCAGAAAGTACTGAAAAGAAGAGTCATACAAACACAGAATGGGGGAGGTGTTGGAATGGGCTAATTATTAAATACGCCAGTGCGTAGCATTATCCTTCCCCTGGTATTGGTAAAGCTTATTCTGCAATAATAATGAAATATATATGTCTTTACAGAGGAAGTTCCACTGTGCTAGTCTGACTTCATGGCCATCTTGGCTGTATTCCTTATATGATGCTGTAAGTATTAACAAGATCTTAATCTTTGTTACATTTATTTATTTATTATTATCAAATTTATAGGCCACCCTCCCCGCAAGCGGGCTCAGGGCGGCTTACAGAAGAGGTTTAACATCATACATCGTTGTGGGTTATTAATCTTTTAAAACATTTACTTTTAAAATAACAAATGGACAGATCCTACGGCTCCCTTCTTGTGCTAAACAAGAAAGACTGCAGCTTTCTTACTACTACAAAGGAAACATGGGAATCCAACCCCATGTGCTTTCTGTAGCTTGGACTGTTGTCTTGTTAATGTATTGATGCAGTCTTTACCCCCAAAAGTTGGTACATCCTCCAATGGATTAATTATATGTTATTTTTATCTTACTGACTTTGTACTTCAAGCAGTTCTCTTGCTGACTTAGTTTTGAATCAACTAATGACCTTAAAACATGCTTTTTAGCATCCGGTGACCTGCACAGATGTAGCTTTTAATTTGCCATGAGGCTTCAGTAATCAACCTACAGATAGACTTTGAACTTTGTTCATCTTGTTAGTATGAAGACTCTGAATGATTTGTGTACCAGTATTACTTGTCTGGTGCTCTTCTAGACCCTGAATACAATGAAGAAGAATTCTTTATTTTCTTGTTTCAGTTTTGTTGACTGCCAGCTTAGATTTTCAGTTAATATATTTGTCCTTGGCAAAAGTAGGTGTGATGCCTCTTTTGTATATGCATACCAACATGTATAGAGAATTACTAGTTTTGTGTACTTGCTGGTAAATGTAAAAGTTAAGCTGTTGACTTACACCTACCTGCAAATGTCATTGAATAATAGAATTTTAGCTAGCACTTGCCCTGTTGAAGGTTTTTCACAGTTGTTGTCTTGTAATAACAACAAGCTGTCAAAGGAGGCCAGTGATGTCCCCTTATTGCAGATGGGAGACCAAGAATAAATGTTACCTACTGAGTTTGTGATAGAACTGGGGTTGATCACAACTTTCCCTCAACCACTGAAAAATGGTGTATTTTCCTCAGCCTTTTCTTACAGCTGTTTTGTGTACATAACTTTGGTACAAGTGTAGTATACTATGTTTCTGGATTGCTCATAGTTTCCTTCATTTTTGTATGTGTAAAAAGAAATTCCTAGGGCAGTGATGGTGAACCTTTTAGAGACCGAGTGCCCAGATTGCAACCCAAAACCCACTTATTAGTCGCAAAGTGCCAACACGGCAATTTAACCTGAATACTGAGGTTAGAAAAAACAATTCATACACTAACTTAAGATGATCCAAACAAAGTAAGGAAAGCAATCCCAAATGCTTTCATTTACTTAAAATTATTTGGCAGATAATTCGACACTTTAATGATGGTCTGGGCCTGGCTGGCGCGATGGCACGCATGCCCACAGAGAGGGCTCTGAGTGCCACCTCTGTCACCTGTGCCATAGGTTCACCACCACTGTCCTAGGGAATGTCATTGTCAAATTCAGAATATTACATTTTCCCTCCATAATAAAACCTCAAAGGATCTCTGTTTGTTCTTCTTACTTAATAAAGAAAGAAGAAGTGTTATGTTTAAATTAGGTTTTTCTTCTAACACAAGGAAACCTTGATGGAAAGAGTCAAGCAGCAGCTGCATGAGTGGGATGAAAATCTTAAAGACGAATCACTTCCATCAAATCCAATAGGTACTTTAGTACACTTAACTAAATAAAAAAGTACACTTAATTAAATAAAAAATTCCTTAATATGTCATCCTCTATTTTTCCTTGTTTCTTAATCAGTAGTGGTCCACTGGTTGGTACTGTTACTGGAAAAAAGGGGTTTACCTGAATGTGGGTTATTTTTACAATACAGTATGTTGGTTTCCAAGGTGCCAGACCAGATGGTTTACCTTAAAGGTATATGCTGCTCTTTTATAGGACAGAGCATCTATAGCATTTGGGCCCCTCTGTATAGCAAGGCCTTACATAGAAGCTACTTGAAGGGCTTTTATGTGGCCATTACTCCATACAACTTGGTGGGCAGAAAGCCAAGGGAGAGGCTCAGTTGCTGCTGAAGTGAAGTGCTGCCTCTGTGTGGAACGTGGTTGTTGTTCTTGCTCATCCTGCTCTTGCTATTTGTGTGATGCAGCCAGAGGTTGGTGTGTCCACATCGCGATATTGTCAGCTTTTTGAAGTCAGTTCCATGGTGTCTCCAACCCAAATAATTTTGTGGTATATTCTTCGCCATGCTCCCAGGATTATTATGAGACACACACCATAGTGAATGAAAGGTAAACCATACAACAGTTCAACACATGAGCATATGCTAAAAGCACATAGAAGATATCACTACCACCCATCTTTTCCACTAGAATTGCCGCAAGATAATGTGCTGTTGACTGTTGGTGCTTTAAGTAAAACTATACACCCATAATAAGACAGAACTAATCCAGTATCAAGCTTCTGATTCAGCCTTTTGACTTCTTTAACAAAAATCATAAAATGAGGTGTGCTTTTTCATCCCCCCTCCCCAGATTTTTCCTATAGGGTTGCAGCTTGTCTGCCCATTGATGATGCATTACGAATTCAGCTCCTTAAAATTGGAAGTGCTATTCAGCGACTTCGATGTGAGCTTGATATTATGAACAAAGTAAGTATACTGAATGTTTTTGTTAAGTCGAGTCTGTAAGTATTCATCAGTGATTTTGGTGTTTTCAAACAAGAAACATTTTCAATGCTGTCTCTCAAGGGGAGCATTTTAAATTCAAGAGGCAGGGGTTTTTTTAGATAAGCTTTACTAATATTTAGAGAGTTGAATGCCCAGGGGGAACATTTGGGGGGGGGGGGGGGGGGCTTTTTTCCTTTTTTTTCCTTACTCTTTTTTCCCCAAGAACTTCCCGTCCCAATTTTTCTGATAGAAAAATTGGAAAATTTGGTTAACTGGGAAAAAACTCGTATTAAATATTTTGTCTTTTAGAAGGAGTAAGATGCTTCTTAAGGCAAGGTTTTTCACTCTCAAAATGTATCACATAGAAAGCTCAGGAAATTTGGGGGAACACTGAAATATTTTTTTCTTTTTACGCAAGGGAAACCTTGTCTTACAAAACATTTTATTAGGGGTGTGCATTCAGATCTTTCTGAGCCAAAGATATACCCAAAAAATACGTTATTGATATTTTGGGGGTACATTTCGGCATCCCAAAAGTATCTGGGATTTCCCAGGAAACCCGTGGGGGGAGGAATCTAAAAAAAAAAATCCCAGATATTTTTGGAAGCAGGAAGATCAGGGAAACAGCTGAGAAGCAGGGAGGCTGCTCCCACCTATCAGCTGTTTCCCCCCTTCTGCAGTATATTTAAAACAGGATGGTTTAAAGAGAGTGCAGAAAAGATTTTGAAACGGCTCAGAGGCTGGGAAATTGCTCCCCGCCTATCAGCTGTTCCCCCCCCCTTTCTTCTGCAGTCATTTATACCAGGCTGGTTTGCAGAAAAGATTGAGGAAACAGCTGAGAGGTGGTATCTGCAGCTGAGCTGTGTTTTGCAGCTTTGTTGCTCCTGGGTTCTGTCCCCCCACCACCCGTTTTTTCCAATCCCGGGTCTATTGGACCTGGAAAAAAATGGGATTTTCAAAAATTTCTGAATCTGGATACTTTGCCAGTATTGGGATCCAGATTTTTCAGAAATCCTGAAAACTTTGGGTTCAATACACCCGAACTGGAAAAACCCCTACATTTTACTCATTCTTTTTTTTAAATATATATTTATTAGTTTTCACAAATTGTAACTCATTCTAAATGCACAGCATGAAAAAGTCTGAGGACATTCTGAGTTCTTCCAATGGAAAATAATTGGGAAGTCCTTAAATAAGCTCTTATTCTATAGACACACAACATTTACAGGTTTTTTTGTTTAAATGTTAAAAATGTTTGGAAACAAAACCATAACGTTATATTATTGATCTATGCTTACCAGCATGGATTTTGGGTTTGCATCCTAAGTACTGCCAACAGAGTGAGGGGTGTGGAGCAAAATTTTACCTCCTTCCTTTTCCTATTGAGGTCCCCCCCTCCCACTCTGCTTCTGGGAATCAGGAGATTTTCAGGAACAGGGTGTGGAACAAAGTGCCCTCTGTAGTTGAAGGAGAGCATGAGTAGAAATAGTGCCTACCAAAGAAGGTGGTTCATAAGTCCTTGAGCTGCTTAAACAGCAGTTTAGGAGTACCATTTCAACAACAAGTTCAAAGAAAAATGAGATGGAGGAGTATGCCCTTTGGTAACTGCAAGTGTTTGCCATCACTTTCCTCCCAAGGAGCAGGCGTCTTTTAATTTCATGGCTGCAGCCACCATCTCCAGTGATCTTGGATCCCAGGAATGTGAAGTCTGTCACTGCTTCCATGACTTCCCCTTCTATTTGACAAAGAGTGATGAGGTCGGATGCCATGCATGGCATCACCCTGCCAACAAAAGTCCATATGGTCCAAGCAATGGTATTCCCAGTAGTAATGTATGGCTGTAAGAGTTGGACCATAAGGAACGCCGAGCGCCAAATAATAGATTCTTTTGATTTATGGGGCTGGAGAAGACTCTTGAGAGTAAGGAGATCAAATCAGTCAATCATAAAAGAAATCAACCCTGACTGTTCCCTGGAAGGCCAGATACTGAAGCTGAAGCTCAAATACTTTGGCCCCCAAATGAGAAGGGAGCACTCACTGGAGAAGACTCTGATGCTGGGAAAGATTCAATGTAAAAGAGAAGGGGACGGGAAAGGATGACATGGCTAGACAGTGTTATCGATGCAATGAGCATGAAATTAAGCAAACTCCGGAGGACGACGAAAGACAGGAGGGCCTGGTGTGATGTGGCCCATGGGGTCACAAAGAGTCAGACTCGACTGTGCGACTGAACAACAAAAAACTGCAAGTGTGATTCCATGTCTTCAAAATAAGAAAATATTAACTTTTCATTTAAAAAGGATGCCAGGAATTCTGTAGGTATTAAGCTTCCTTCAGATTTTGACGGACGTTTGCTGATTCACCCCCTCTCTCTATGGACACCCTATGCTGCTTCCAACTTCCTAAAAGTTGCATTTTGGGAAGCACAGCCCATTGCAGTAGGAAGAGGGCAGATAGGAAAGTTTTGCTCCATGTGCTCAGTGGCACTCGTAGTGCTTAGGATCCAATCCTATATTTTGTCCGATCACCTCATACCAGTGGCTTCAGGGTATGTATTGTGTTTATAATGTGGTTTTTTTTAAATATAAAGTTGTAAATTGGGATCTTAATCAAGCCATGGATGAATGTGAAATGAAAAGCATTTGAAAGGGGACTTTACAAAATTTTCAAAGGCCAAATATTAAATGCTTTTGGGACTCTAAACAAATGAGGTAGAATTCCCACATTGCTTGAATGTGCAGTTTCTTTTAACATGGTTCCAAGTCATTCTGTTTTTCTAACTCTTAAAACATTAGCAGTACCTGAAGTGTGGAGAATTTATTTTGCCTCATATGTGTTCAGGCTAGTCTCAAGTTGAATAAAATGACTTGAAATGTTTTTCTTCAGTGCTGTGGCGGTGATGGTTTTTATATTTATTTATTTTCCATAAATTGTAAGTGACAAATTCTGGAGGAAAAAAATGTATTTTTACTTTCCTGGTACATAATTTGAGGAGAAAATTGGTGCCTCTTTTTTCCTCAAAACAGTCATTTAGAGGAAAATCAAGTCCACTTTTACCCCACTTCAATAGTAAACTTTTAACCTTAAATAACCTTAGTTTTAGTATAGTTATATGCATACATTACAGGAATAGCATTTTCCCCACTATATGTGTATTTCAGGCTGATACCCCTGCCACAAAGAGTGTCGTTGTTGAACTTGAGTCTTCAAAAACATGTACTGTACGTGGAAAGTCACTCCATGTATATGTTTAGAGTATTCAAGATAGTAATGTTTAATTAATGTCTATATATAATTTGAAATTGTTAAAAAATAAAGACAAAATGATTTTAAAACGTAGTCTGCCTAAAAGCTTGAGTTGAACTTTTCTCATTGTTTGCTTTGTTATAGTGTACATCCCTATGTTGTAAGGATTGTCAGGACACAGAAATAACAACAAAAAATGAAATATTCAGGTGAGTTTGGAATGGATCTACATTTTAAGCTAGGCAGTGGTCTGATGTCACACTGTACAACTGTTCATACAAACCCTAGTTAGGCTACTGGATGTATTAAGTCACATTTCTTGTACCAACCCTGGTTAATTTCTGATGCAGCCTAACATGCCCCTTCCATTGCTGCTCTTGGAGGTCAGGGACCCCCAGGAACTGCTTGATGGGGTAACCAGAGCTCTACAATGCAAAGGGGGAATTGACAAAAAATATCCCCCTTCCCTCTGTGGAAATCTTCCAGTGGATCCAAGACAATCCAGCACCTACGTATCACACCCATGAAGCAAGCCTTCTGAATTATTTCTGATAAAATGCCTCTGTTCAGGAGACGCAGGTCATTTCTATTTAAGCAACGGGTTGTATTTGCTTTCTCTCTCCTCCCCTTTCTACTATAGCTCACACTCCACATGCAGCCATAACATCACCTGCTTCCATGGGAAGGATGGTGTCATGCTATGGTGATTTTACAAAACTTGACAACTCAGCTTTTAATCCTCAGTCTCTCCCCCCCCCCCAGCCACTAATCATATTTCTTGTGCAACACACACTGTTTCATAGGGTCAGGGTGGGAAAGATGACAGGTGGAGTCGTGAACCTTTTGGGCCTATAACAATGGCTACTTGCAGAATAATTCAAATTTTATTTCCCCCTACTTCCAAAGATTCTGTTCCTGATGCAGCCCAAATAAAACCTGTTATCTCACTAGATGAGATACTTGTGATTGTTACATTTTTCTTTTGGAACAATTCGTAGTGTATGTGAACAAAAGCATATTACTAAAATGATATATTTTGTCCATGTTGCCATCTAAATTTTTCCTCTGGGAACTTCTCTCCCATCCCCTTTATCCAAGAAGTTTAAAGCTGTTTACATAGTTCTTGTGGCCTCCATTTTATTCTTTCAGCAGCCTTGTGAGGTAGGTTAGACTGAGAGAGAGTGACTGGTCCAAGAAGTTCATCTTCATAGATGAGTGCTTAATGAAGTGAAGGTTTAGAGAAAGACAGAGGACGGGACGTGACCTGAGAAACCAACAGCAAAAGCCAAATGCTTGAACAACTCAGTTTTTCAGCCAGTTTAGCAGGCAGTGTCTCCTCTCTTTAGAGGAGAGGGAAAATTTACTTTTTTTAAACTGTGCCTTCTACAATTACATTTGCTTTTGTGGTGTTTGGTGTTGTTTGGTGTAGTGGTTAGGAGCACGGACTCTAACCTGGGAGAACCGGGTCTGATTCCCCACTCCTCCACATGCAGCTCCTGGTGTGAAACTGGGTCAGTCACAAGTTTTCTCAGAGCTGCTCTCTCACGAGCAGTTCTCAAAAGAGCTCTCTTAGCCCCACCTACCTCACAAGCTATCTGTTGTGGGGAGAGGAAGGGAAAAGAGATAGTAAGCTGTTCTGAAACTCCTGGTAAGCTGTTCTGAAAGTCCTGGTAGTGAAGGGTGGGGTATAAATCCAATCTTCTTCTTTCGTCCTTGGTGGTGGAAAGTGCTGTCAAGTTGCAACTGACAGGGTGACCCCATAGGGTTTTCAAGGTAAGAAATGTTCAGGTGGTTTGCCATTGCCTGATTCTGCATAGCAACCCTGGATTCCCTTGGTGGTCTCCCATCCAAGTACGGACCACCAGGGCCAACCCTGCTTAGTGTAGGAGATCGGAGGAGATCAGGCTAGCCTGGGGCATCCAGGTCAGAGCTCTGATGATATTTGTAGTTCCTGGTATCTGATTAGATATTTTGCCTGTTGGTTTTTAAGATATATTTTTTAGACTTGAACTGTTGTAGTTTGTTTTTATCAGGAGCTGTTAAGATTAAGAGGTAGTCTATAAATATAGTAAATAAAATGTTATATTTAACTACTTCTGTATGTACTTGTTAAGGAGTGAGTGGACTCAAATAGTATTTACATGTTTAATATATAGATCTGTAAGGATGTGACTGTTTGTAACAAAATAGATTCCTTTGGCACACGGTCAAAGCAGAAATGTCCTTATCCTGATCATAACTGCATTCTGCTTCTGGGTCTGAGATAGTTTGAAAGCACTTTGTACGTGCTACGAGGCAACACTCCTAAAATGTAGTTTTGGTTAGTTGCCATGGATAAGCGGAATGAATTAGCGTGGGGAAGGCATTGCTGAGCCTGCAGATCTTTACAGGCTTCCATGTTGTGTTTTGTAATTTTGATGGACAGAAATTTGTTTAAATGCAAAACTAATCAGCGTGCCAAACTTCCAGCACAAGTGTCAGAGGAATTTGTTTAAAGTAGAATCAAGACTGCTGAGTTATTTGCTGGCTTGTGTTACAAGCACTCTTGGATCCTGTAGCTTCTTAACTGACTTAGGAATTGTTTGTTGTAGTCTATCCTTGTGTGGACCCATGGCTGCATACGTGAATCCACACGGCTACGTGCATGAGACCCTTACTGTGTACAAAGCCTGCAACCTGAATCTGAGTGGCAGATCTTCCACAGAGCACAGCTGGTTTCCTGGGTAACAAAATGTTTCTTTTTTTTCATACTAGCAGGTAGCCATATTAGTGCTTTGCTCTTTACTGCTGAAGCACTAGAGAGCATATGGTACAGCCCTTCATCCAGATATACCACTCCAGAATGTAGTCGATGATACTGCTCGTGTAGAACCACTCCCATGTCAAAATCTTTGCATGTGGAAAGTGCATGTGTCAGGGAGAAGTATCTAGCCAATTTAGCATTCTAAGCCAGTCTGTTAACACACTTTTAGATTGTTACAGTTCATGCCCTATGTAAGTGTATCCACTTATTGCAATGTTTTCTCTGTGTTAGTGACTGTAAGTGGTGTGCATTGTTCTTGAGTTATATGCTTGCTCAGTTCATGGTGTCATCTTGTAGGTACGCATGGACGATAGCCCAGTGTAGGATCTGCAGAAGCCATATAGGTTGGAAGTTTACTGCAACGAGGAAGGATATGTCACCTCAACGGTTCTGGGGACTGACCCGTTCTGCCCTGCTGCCAAGGATTCCAGAAACAGAGAATGATTCGGGTCAAGAAAGAACACCATTGCTTTGCCTGTGACACCGTATTTTTGGATGGACTAGAAGCAGTTGAGGTCTCTTAAACGAATCTGCTATGTGCTGCATATGTTTGATTGTATATTTAAAAAACAGTATATTTGAGCTTCAGCCAAGGAAAGGTACTATTGTTTCCAAAGTGAATGAAAGGTTTAATATTTGAATCTGGACTTCCGGATGAAAAAGTGCTAAATGTGAGAGAGCACAAGAAAAGTAGACTGCTTTCAAAATCTGGCAGAGCTTGAGGATTGTACAGTTTATACCTGTCCTGTAATTATGTAAGAAGACACAAACTGCTTTTGAGGAGATAAAACTGTCTAAAAAACTTCTTGATTAGGAGTGAAGACGATGTGTAATTCAGCTTGTGTATAATGATAGGCATATGTTATTGCCCACTGTTCTAAGATATTTACTTATAGAATGTTGTGAATGTATAAGAATCCCAATTTTCTTACAGTGTGGAATAGCTTATAGGCATTAGGGTGTTTTGCTTGAATAAGCCTTAAATGATGATGAGGTCTGACTGTCCTGTAGGGGCTGATGGGGTTGTAATACCCAAGTTAAAAAGGATGTTGCTTGAAAAGCAAGTGCTGAAACCTGCTGCTAAAAGAGCTATTACATGCAATTCCTTTGTAAAGAATCCCTATAGAATTGTACTGTTCTTGTTTTATCCTTTTATCCGATTCCACTAGGTTGACATGTTTTGACCTATTAATTTTTTTTAGAAGAAACAGAACTGCTCTTTATCTAAGACCCCCCCCAAAAAAAGTATGTGGCTTTCTTTCTTAAAGCCTTCAGTGTCTTTAAGTCAGTCATAGAATATTCAAATCCTCTGAGACATCGTGTGTCTTTGTGTACACGCTTAAGATTCTGTGGAGCCCTTGGCAGAGCTCGTTGCTCAGTTACATATGTAGGTTTGGCATTGGGAGGAAGCAGCTATCTTGAACTGCCTTTTAACAGTGTCTGTCCATGCTATGGAAAAGGGTGCCAGAAATAGGATTGCAATTTTCTGCTGTTTTGTTTTGTTTTCCCAGAATGCACTTTGACAAGCAGTGTTTGTAAATGGCAGCTCTTTCTTACACACACACACACACACACACACACACACACACACACACACACACTTGCCTTTATATATATGAATCCTCCCCCCCCCCCTCGAGGCCACTTCTTCCCCTCATTTGTTCAGTGTACACTGTAGAGCTCTTGTTAAGTGTTGATAGTAATTTTGTTGAAGTAAAAACTGCTAAAATCAGTAATTTTGTACAAATTCCAATGTATTTATCTAGTCTGTGAGATGTTGCTTGAAAACCTCTGTAATCTAACATTTAATGATAACACCATCGCTTCTGCTTTTTGCAGGTGGAAATTAGTTTCAGGGAGAAAGTGGTGTTTAATACCGAATGCTTTATATGCAGGCAAAAATTGTTCTAGCTCACGCTGTTCCTTGAAGTCTACCTCTTGTTGCCAAACTTTCTCTTTCTTATCCCAGCCACAGTTGATCTGTTCACCTTGTTTTGTGCTGCAGCTTTGTCCTTCCATTGAGCTGTGAAAAGCAATATTAGTTGAAACCTCATTTTGAACAAATGGAGTGAAATACGGAGCATTTTTATTAGAGAAAACATTCTAGGTTTTATTCAGCTCGCAATATAAAGCTGTATTGTTGAAAGCACAGGGAATGTGAAAGTTAACTTGTACAAAACTCATGCAGAAACCTAGAGAGCTTTTTTTCTCAAATGAGTAAAATGTATAATAAAGCACTGTGCCCTCTTTGAAGGGCCTAGACTCCTGTGGTTTTCATTCTAATTAGTGGGATGTGCAGATATTCAGGATGTCAGGAAGACCTCCCTTTTTTTAATTACTGCACCAGAGGCTGGGCTGTGGTGGTGTTGTTGGGAGATAAGGTTTCAACCCATGCTAACATGTTACAAACATACATTAAAATTAAACTTCCATGTGATGAATGTGCTTTTTGATCTGAGAGGAATAAAAGTGGCATTTAAACCGGCTCTGTGACTGGTACTAATCCAAGAATGTGAAATCAGGACAGAGTGTCATGACTACACATCCTGTCTTCTTAATGTGTGTAGAAGGCAGTTGTGTTGAAAGACTCCACTTTTTAAAATATGGGGTCGCTTCCCTAGCTCCATTCCACATTTACCATTTGATTATAGTAGCACTATACCACAGGAGCAAGCAAGTCCCGCCGTTAAGAAAATATGGGCTTCAGGCTTATTGTTAGTTTTGCATGGGCAAGGTGAAGTGTGCTCTTGTTGAGAATAAATCTGAAAGGGCAGAAGTAGTGTCTAATTAGGTTTCTTCCAACAGGTTCTTTGTGAGGACACTATCAGTGTCCTGGAAACAACTTTGCTTTTTTGTCCAGGGCCCTTTGAAACAAAAGGAGGTTCTGTATCAGAAGTGCTTGATGAACTGGTCCTAATGTGTTTGGCTACCAGTGCCATCCTGACTTCAGTGGACTTAGGTTTGCACTGCAGCTCTGCTGTTTGGTTGCTTCAGATGAAAATAGAATAGTTATTATGAAAGCAAGCATGAACTGTGCCTATTTTTGGTTTGGTGTGAGTGTAGGTATAAAAAGAGTTGGAAATAAGATGTGGGGGAGAGAATAGGAAAATCATTATCAAGTGAGATCAGCAAAAAGTGTTAATTTCATTTTGACAATTGTTTCTGCAGTTGCTCCGGTATGTATCATAGATATGAGAGTACCAAACTCATTTTCTAACTCCCCAAATAGTGTAATTGTAAACAATTGTAAAGACAATATATCCTCCTGTTGTGCAACAGGCTGTTAAAAGCACCATCCAGTGAAGGATTCTTTGTATAGAGTATATATGCTTTATAGTATTGGTTATAAAAACATTAATGCTTCTGTATGTTTGGCTTGGTTTTTCCTTTGCAGTGTGAGTTGTACTTTCAACAGTGAGGAAGGGAATCAGCTTAGCGAAAAGGCAGACACTAAAATGCGGAGATCAGTATAGCTGTCTGAGAACAAAATATTGGAAATGCTTAACCTGAAATTAGTTCAGTGTCAGTTCATGATATGTTTAAGTCAGTGCAAATACCACTGGATTTCTAAACTCTAAAAGAACCCCTAATATCTCACAAACCTTTTCTATTGCTTATCACCATCATATTTTGAGAACATCAGCAAGCGTATCGTCTTTTGTTGTAGTGCTATTCTTGTACGAGGAAAACTTTGTTCCACCATAAATGAGTTTCTTTACCTGTCAGTTGTTCTGACTGCTTTGTGAAAGCTGGTGGAAGAGCAATTATGATCTGTGTAGTCTGAAGATGCTAAAAGACCAGTTAAGCCATAGTATTTGGAATTGTAGTTCTCCATGAAATCTAATTAAAAGTATTTGAAATTTCTGGTTTTTGTGAGCCAGCACTGTAGACAGACAAGTGAAAGCAGTAAGAAGCCACAGTTCAATTATCTTGACCGCAAGCGCTGCATAGCCCACATCTGCTCATTTGAGTTATTACCAGTGTGGGGTAGAGGCTAGAGGATCTGGGAGATCTAGGAAATCTAAGTTGGAATTTCCACCTTGACATGGAAACTCATTCTTTGGGCCAGTCACACACACTCAGCCTAACCTTCCTCACAGAGTTGTGATGATAAAATGGTTTCCCACTGGGGTAGAAATAAAATAAGTAAATAAATAAAATAGAGATGTTAACAGTGTTCATATCCTATTCCAGCTAGGGTGTGTACCGAAAGGATGCATAGTGCAGGTCATTAGGAAGCTGTTTCCATGGTGCTGGGGCAAGCTGTATTTTACTTGAGACACTGACATCCTATGGGAGGTAGACAATCCTGGCTCGAGGTCATTGTCATTGAGATGGGAGTGGTCAAATCCACAGCAGTTACCACAAGTCAAGAGAAAAGAAATCACACTGTGCTGGAACAGTGGACTGAGACAAATAAAATGAATTTCAATAGAGATAAATGCAAAGTCCTACACTTAGGTACAAAAAATCAAAGGCACGGATATAGAATGGGAGGGACTTGGCTTGAGAGCAGCACATGTGAAAGGGATCTAGGTGTTCTGGTTGATCACAAGCTAAATATGAGCCTGCAGTGCTATGTGGCTGCGAAGAAAGCTAATGCAATTTTAGGATGCATTAACAGAAGCATTGTGTCCAGATCACGGGAGGTGGTAGTTCCACTCTGTTCTGCTATGGTCAGGCCTCACCTGGAGCACTGTGTCCAGTTTTGTGCACCATATTTTAGGAAGGATGTTGACAAGCTCGAGCGTGTCCAGAAGAGGGCAACCAGGATAGTGAGAGGGTTGGAATTCAAGTTTTATGATTCCAGGCTGAAAGAGTTGGGTATGTTTAGTCTGGGAAAGAGAAGGCTTAGAGGGAACATGATTGCAGTCTTCAAGTATTTGAAGGGCTGTCATGTAGAAGATGGAGCAGATCTATTCTCTCTTGCTCCGGATTGCAAGACTTGATCTAATGGGTGGAAATTACAAGGGAGTTGTTACCGGCTAAATATCAGGAGAAACGTCCTACTGTAAGAGTGGTTGAGCAGTGGAACAGTCTTCAGGAGGTGGTGGATGCTCCTTCGCTGGACATTTTCAAGCGGAGGCTGGACGACCATCATTCAGGTATGTTGTAGGTATGTAGGGCTATCTTTCAGCTATGCTCCTGCAGAGTGCAGGGGGTTGGACTAGATGACCTGCAAGGTCCCTTCCAACTCTAACATTCTATGATTCTTGAATGAGTGTTTTTAGAAGGTACCTCCTAAAGCATGAAAAATCTGGAAAATATTTGCCCCATTACAGAAAGCATGGACAATAAGATGGATGTTTCCATGTCTTTGAAAATATGTTGCATGCACAGGCCCTAAGTGGGAACATTCACTGCCTCTTTCTTGGACATAGGTTTCTGCCTGACCTGGACACCTTGTCATTCCTGAGGCCCAGCAGAGGTCTAAAACTCCTTCAGGAGAACTAATAGCTTGTTGTGGGGACTGAAAGAACCAAAGCAGATGACTTCATTTAAGTAAATGAGGCTTGAGAGTCTTATCTTAAAAATATTAGCTGTTTAACTTAAGAGGCCAGGGAATAAGTGACCCACCAGTGCTGGTTTATGGCCATTCTGTTTGTGAATTACTTTTAACTGATTTGTTCTATAATAAAGTTTGAGTCCAGTGGCACCTTTAAGACCACAAAAGTTTTATTCAAGGTATGAGCTTTGGTGTGCAGGCATACTTCCTCAGATACATTGAAATAGAAGTTAACAGTCCATACATATAGGCAGTTGGTGAACAGCAAGTTAGCATACAACATAATGAAGATGTTTTAACAGATGCGAAGACCAAACCGGAATAACAATCTTATGGTCACCATTTGTTTGGATTTAATTATGGGAGGAAACACAATGGAGCAAATATGTCAAAATAGGACACTAATGTGTAAATGTATCCTTCTTAATAGTGGAATGCTAAGAGTAAATAACTGAGATCCTGTTCTATGTTAGCAATGCTATTCCTGAATTTATTTTTATACTGATATGTTATATAGTGATAATATGTTTCTGTTAATACCCCAGTACTGCAAATACCCCTGTATGTGTGTTAGTGCTGTTTCTAGTACCCAACTCTAAAGTATCTTTGAATGTCTTTGTTATCTCTTACAGGAGAGCTTTTGAGTTTGTTGGAGAGTTTTTACTTACCTCCTGATTTTCTGAAACAATCTCAGTATTGAGTTTCCTTACTGTCTTTTAGTTAAAACCTCAAAGACATAACATGTTGTTTCTAAATGTTAGTTGTACATGGTTACTTCCACTCCCATTGGTGGCAGAGTTTGGATTTGGACTGGGGAATTACTGAAGGTCTCCCAGTATAGGTTTTGTTTCCTAAACTCTTTGAGATAATCTTATTTATGGATAACATTTTTATGCTGCTGTTCCACCCAATCAGGCTCCCTGAGGTAGCACACATAAACACATTTGAGTAAGTAAACACAATTAAAATGATAAAAATTCAATATAAACACATAAACAACACCAGAACCACGGAGGAGGGCCAAAACTGTTATTGGAGATATGCCAAATGAAAAAAAAAAAGCAGAAGACGCCTGAGGAGGGAGTTCCA